TATGCAACCAGACTCTGCCAGTGCTGGCCAATAACTCGTACTTGCTACCACCAGATCAAGGATGATGGGCATGTACTTCAGGATTAACCCCATGTGTCCATTCTAAAGTTCTTAATCAAGCATCAGATTTTTGTGTTCTAGTACAACTAATCCCTAGAATTATTTATCACTCAGACCAGGATATAAATAAGGCCCTGACTGGGCAAGGACCCCTTCACCATAATTGCCAGGAAAGAGAAGTTGTTACTGCCATCACCCTATCTGTTCTGGGATTGGGACTGGCAGGAGCCTTGATCTTACAAAGCCCAAACTACCATAGCCTTAGAGCCACAATAGACGGGGACATCCAGAACTTAGAAAAGTCTATTTCCCATCTACAAGAATCCCTAACCTCCTTGGCAGAAATGGCTCTGCAGAATAGGAGAGGCCTAGACTTGCTGTTCTTGCAGCAGGGAGGCCTCTGTGCTGCCCTTAAGGAAGAGTGTTGTTTTTATGTAGATCACTCTGGGGTCATCAAAGAATCCCTGGCCAAGATTAGAGAAAGTCTGGCTTGAAGAGAGAACGAATATAGGGCTAAACAAGGATGGTTTGAATCCTGATTCAATAGCTCCCCTTGGTTGACCACTTTGATTTCAACCTTACTCGGAACCCTCCTCATTCTGATTATGCTCTTGACTTTTGGGCCTTGCATTTTAAATAAATTGGTAGCTTTTATAAAAGAGCAGCTGGGAGCTAATGGTAATGCGAACCCACTATTAGTCCCTCCAGAGTCTGGGTGATGAAGAACATGAGATGAGGGAGCGCCCATTATTGGGCCCCCAAGGTACTAGTCAGGGGGGGGAATGAGAGACTGGAGTGACTCCATCTTGGATAAAACCTCCATTGGACTGACCCAGCCCTGGGCCCTGTTCTAAGAAAAACCACAATACTTGGAACAGATAGAGAACAACTCCATAGAGAACAACTCCCCCACCAATGGTCAATTAACCAGGGACAGGAAAGAACTAAAAGTCCAGATATCTTTTCAGATTTCCTGAAGCCTATGGTTTATGGTTTGGCATTGAGCTGCAACCAATCAGATGCTTGCCAGGCTGAAGACCCCCTACTCCCCTACTTGCTGAACTTGCTGCAATAAACCTATAAAAACTTCTGTCTCCCAAAGCAAGGGGTCTCACATCTGAGATCCACTGAGTCAGTGACAGAGTGGGCCCAACCTTAAGCTTGTAACAATAAAAGAACCCTTGTGTATTTGCATCGGTCGGCTCCTTAGTGGTCTTTGGGATCTCGCAAACTGGGCACAGCAACTGTATGTTGTGAGCGTGGAAGAAGAAAAAGAGATGGAACTGAGACTAAGCCAAAAAACTCCATGCCACTGGATAAATGATGTTCATATTGCCAGAAGGTGCAATGCAGAAGATGGTTGGGGAAGAAAGGATCCTCTATGATACTACTCAATGATGGACCCTGTGTGCTGCACACTATGGACATGCCAAGTAATGCCTGCAAGTGCAATAATGGCTCAATCAACATACATAGAACTGAAAAACTTCTAATTGGATAAGGCCCGCTCCTAGGGGTAGAACACACGTCTGGTGCTGTAGACCTGGCCAAAACCTTGTGTCAAGAAAGGCTACAGGCCCTAATGGGGAAGCCATCACAAGTATACTGTTTAATGAATATAGTACACCTACTGGGATATCTTCTAGACATTTGTACTTACATTCATATTTGTTTAAATGTGTCTACTTACTTCCATTTGTCTTTATAGTAGAAGAAACACCACTGAGATAGATCAATGGCCACGGCTTAGAGACAAGTAATGGGGAGGCCCAAGAAGTCACTATCTCACCATGATAAAAGAGAGATCACCCTACATCTCTCACCCCCTCCAAGGCTCAGGGACCTTAGCTGAAGATTGGCAGGAAGACTAAGAAAAGAGGAAAGGGGTAGAGTGTCTCCCAAAATACCTGTTTCCTCCAAGGGGTAGGGCCTGCTGCGGAGAATTGACTGGGAAGGGGTTTGTGCACCATCTTGTGATGGAAGCCACGAGCCAGTGGGAACACGTGGCAGTGGGCGTGGGGAAGCTTGCAGCAGACGTGGAGAAAAGATGGCCCGGCATCTCAACAGCATTGCAAGAGGGGGCATTTACCAACCTGGAGTGGGACTTCAGATCCAAGATGCGCGGGCAAAAGTTAACGGAGACTGTGGGCAGGTATGGAAGTGACCTGAAACGATGGTGGCCTGCCGGTGCAGAGCTGAGTGCCTGGTGTTAGTCTCTGTAAGTTTCTCCACCCCCCCCAAGATATAAACTATAATAAATTCACATAAAAATATATTATATGGTTTGTCTGATAGTGCAAGAGACCCTGAAAGAACTCTGGTGACATCAGGTCAGGTATGGTAGCTCACACCTGTAATCCCAGCAGTTAGGTGGTAGAGGCAGGAGGATCAGGAGTTCAAGGCCAACATCAGTTACACTGTGAACTCAGTGGTGCCCTGGTATACATGAGACTCTATTGCAAAAGGAAAGAAAGGAAGAAAGGAAGAAAGGAAGAAAGGAAGAAAGGAAGAAAGAAAGAAAGAAAGAAAGAAAGAAAGAAAGAAAGAAAGAAAGGAGGGAGGGAGGGAGCGAGGGACTGGAGAGATGGCACAGCAGTTAAGAGCACTGACTCCTCTTGCAGAGGACCTGGGTTCAATTTCCAGCACCCACATGGTGACTAACAACCATCTCTAACTTCCAGTTCCAAGGGATCTGATGCCCTCTTCTGACCTGCTTAGGCATTGCATGAAATGGGTGCCTCTACCTACATACAAGCAATACACTCATACAGAGTAAATAAAAATAATAAAATATTTTTTGTAAAAGGAGAGGAAGGAAGGGAAGGAGGGAGGGAGGGAGAGAGGGTGAGAGAAATGAAGGAGGAAGGAAAGGAAGAAAGGGAAGGTAAAGGAAAAGAAGTTTTTTTCCTTGGCTGTAGTTTTTAAAAAAATCTTGTGTCTGAGTCATCTGGTACTCAGAACCGCTGTTTGTGTCAAGGCTATTAAGCCCTCTACACATGTTCTTTCTGACCACCAAACCAGGCTGCTCAGATGCTCTAGGCTTTGGGAAAGCACAACCCAACTACAACTCCAGAAGGGAAGGAAGCCTGAGGGTGGTGATATTAGAAACAGCTACCTGGAAACCAGCCCATATCTAGCTTTTAAATTTTTTCCTTCAGCTGGTGGCATAGGCTTGTAATCTCAGCTACTTGAGAGATAAAAAGAGCAAGTTCAAGTCCTCCCTGGGCTACTGTGTGAATTTAAGGCCAGCCTGGACAATTTAGTGGGACCCAGTCTCAAAGTAAAAATACAAAAAGGGGTGGAGACAAAAAAAAAATACAAAAAGGAGTGTCAGTGTTAGGACACTTGCCCAGCATGTGCAAGGCCTTAGGTTCAATTCCTAGTACCACCACCACCAAAAGCCCCAGCTCCCTACCCTATATTTCTTTCTGCTTCTCTTTCTTTCCTTCCTTTTTTTTTTTTTTTTTGAGACAGGGTCTCATGAAGCCCAGCCTGACTTTGAACTATGTAGCCCAAAATGACCTTGAACTTCTGTTCTCCCTGCCTTCTCAGCATGTTGAGACTATAGGCACCACAGGCAAATATTCTACCAATTGATTTATATCCACAGCCTCTCTTTGTTGTTCTGGCATTCTCTATGCAGACCACGCTGGCCTTAAACTCAGAAAACAACCTGCCTCTGCCTCTTGAGTGCTGAAATTAAAGGCATGTACCACCATGCCCAACTTGTTACTTTTTTGAGACATTCATGTAACTCAGGCTGCCCTTGAACCTGCAATCTTCCTACCTCTACGTCTTAAGTGCTAGGATTACAGATATGTATCCGTCATACAGCCTGACTTCACCCATGATTTCTAACTGCCTCATTATTTCATTAAATACACTCTGATAATGAAAATGAAAGCACAATGGGAGAGCAGAGGGTTCCCAGTAGGTGTCTCAAAAACTACCTCAACATTAACATGGTCTAAATTCATCTTTAACTGATTTTTAAAAATCTATTATTTTATGTGTACGAGTATATTGCGTGCATGTATATAAGTGTACCTGTGTCATGCAGTGCCCATGGAGGTCAGAAGAGGGCATCGGATTCCCTGGAACTGAAGTTAGGGATGGTTGTTAGCCACCATGTGGGTGCTAGTGCTGGGAATGCTCTTTCCCTTGTCTTTGTGCTTCCTTTTTTGGTTTTTTTTTTTGTGTGTATATGTATGAGTGTGTGTATATATGAATGTATGTATGTGTGTGGTATATGAACACATGTGCATGTGGGTACTTGCATGGAGACCAGAGTAGGACATCGGGCATCCTCCTCTATCCCTCTGCCTTGTTCCTTTGGAGACAGGGTCTCTCAATGAAACTGGAGCTCATGTTTTTCACCTAGGTTAGCAGCCAGCAAGGATCTAGTGATCCTCCTGTCCCCATCCCCAGTGCTGGGATTATAGGCGTGCACAGGCCCAGGCCCAGCTTTTACATAGGAGCTGAGATCTGAACTCTGGTCCTCATGCTTTTGCTGCAAGTGTTCTTAACCAATGAGTCTTCTCTCCAGTGCCTTGTTTTTGTTTTTGTTTGGTCTTTTTGAGACAGGGTCTCCCTGTAGCCCCAGCTGTCATGGAACTCACTAAGTAGACCAGGCTAGCCTTGAACTCGAAGATATCCACCTGCCTCCCAAATGCTGGGATTAAAGGCATGGGCCACCAGGCCTGGCTTGTTTTGTTTTTCTGAAGCAGAAGTTTATTCTGTAGCCTAGGCTGGCCTGGAACTCACTGCATAGTACAGGCTGGCCTTGAACTCACAGCAGTTCTGTCTCAGTCTCTTGAGTGTTGGGATTACAGGAGTCAGCCACTATACCTGATGGCTTCCTGCTTCCTGCTTCTTTTGGAAAGGGCGTTAAAGAGCAACAGAGAAAGAAAGTTCTCTTTAGGAAAAGAAGGTATGCTCACCAGGGGCTGTGATGCCCAGTACTCCCAGGCTCCCCAGCTGCTTCCAGAACTCCTGTCAATTCAACAGAGTGAAGGTAGTTGTGAGAAAGCAGTTAGCCACATGTGGCTGGAACAAGAGCAAGTAATTTAGAGAAAGGAGCTGCATTCTTAGGACACCCCTGCTACCAGGGGACAGTACAAGCCCCTCTAGGCAGCTGTGCAACATAGTCCCCCTACAAACTGCAGCAGACCCCCTCCCCTGCCCCCAACCTTATAACTCACTCTTAGGTTCTTGAAGTCATTGCTTTGATCAATCTCCTGGGCCTTGGGAGCCAGATTCTCCTGAAGGAACTTAACCATAGTCTGACGAAGCTAAAAGAAGAGCAGTAGACAGATGCTGTTGAAACCAAGATATTCTTGCTATGGAGAGCAAAGTCCCTACTATTGAGGGCAGATTCAGGGAACTAGGCCACATGTAACCTCACCACATAGCATCAGGTTGAGGCATGGAGCCCCATTAATTTATGCTTGCTTAGAGGTGATCTTACCCTCTTAAGATTCTCGATTTAGGCATCCTGGAAATTATTTTTCAAAGATTATTACTTTATTAATTTTGACTGACTTTTGTCCAGGCTGACCTTGAACCTGAAGACGATTTTTAAAGATTTTTAAAATTTTTATGTATATGGGGCTGGAGAGATGGCTCAGCGGTTAAGAGCACTTAACTGCTCTTGCAGAGGACCCGGGTTTGACTCCCAGCACCCACATGGCGGCTATAAACCGTCCTTAACTCTAGTTCCAGGGGAATCCGAAGCCCTCTTCTGATTTCTACAGCATTGCATGACACGGGTGCACTCACATACATGCATATAATACACTTGTACACATAAAATAAAAATAATAATATATTTTTTAAAAAATTTTATGTATATGAGTGTATTGCCTGCATGTGTATTAGTGTATCTGTGTCATGCGATGCCCATGCAGGTCAGAAGAGGGAGTTGGATTCCACTGGAACTGGAGTTACAGACAGACAGTTGTCAGCCACCATGTAGGTGCTGGGAACTGAACCCAGGTCCTCTGCAAGAGCAGCCAGTGCTCTTAACTCCTGGGCCATCTCTCCAGATCCTGAAGATGATTTTGAAAAAATATTTTATCTACTATTTTTATTATTTTGTGTGTATGAATGTATTGCCTGCATGTATATAAGTGCACCCATGTTGTGCAATGCCCATGGAGGTCAGAAGAGGCTGTCAGATCCCCCTGAAACTGGAGTTATGGACAATTGTTAGACACCATGTGGGTGCTGGAAATCAAATTCAGGTCTTCTATAAAAGCGACCAGATGAGCTATTGTTCTAAAATGATGGATAAATTTGTTTTCTCCCCCTATTTAGAAGCCTTTGAGAGGGAACTGACACTGATTCTAAGTACTCCAACAGCTATCAAAATACTTGAAAGCAAATCCTGAATCCATCACTCTAGAGTCCAGCCTTGGAAGACAAAAGAAAAATGAGGAAGAACCCAGTAGAGGGATGCTTTTGGAAGCCCTTGTCAAGAAATTCCAATGGACTCTAACATGAACATTTGAAAATTGCCCTGTTCTGACTTTTTTTCTAGTTCCCTGTCTAGATCTTGTAATGCTCATTACCCTTGCCTTTATTTCTCCTTCACATCTCCTATTCAAGATTCAAAGACTTTCTTTTCCCCTTAGAGATAAGAGTTATGCAATTTGGGAGTCTTTTAGATAGACCCACTGAATTAAAGGTGCATGTCTTTAATCTCAGTACTCAGGAGTCAGAGGCAGGAGGATCTCTGTGAGTTCGAGGCCAGCCTGGTCTACATAGCAAGTTCCAGGCCAGCTGCGGCTACAGGGAGACCATGCCTCAAAAAACAACAAAAACAAACAAACAAACAACAAAAAAAGGAAAGGAGGACAGACTCCATAAAGTTGTTCTTTGACCTACGTGCATACACACACACACACACACATGCACACACACACATACACACACACACACACACATTCACACAAGGATAACAAAAATCAAAAAAAATTTTTTTAAAGAACATCATAAGACTGAGAGTAGTGGAACATACCTTTAATCCCAGTACCTCCAAGGCCCACTCCAGAGGTACAGGCAATCAGATCTCAAAAACAAACATTATAGGAAGGAAATGCCCAAAGTAATTACATACTTGTATGAAAATGTCATATGTAACTCAACACCATGTACAATGAATACAAATGGTGTGTGTTTTGGTAGATGCATTATAAAGCTGGGTACAGGGCTACAGAGATGGCTCAGCAATTAAAAGCGCTAACTACTTTTTGCCAAGGACCTGGGTTTAATTCCCAGCACCCACATGGTGACTAACAACCACCTGTAACTCCAGTTCCAGGAGAATCCAAAGCCCTCTTCTAACCTCTGCAGGCATTGCAGGACACAGGTGCACTTACACACATGCAGGCAATATACTCATAAAAATAAAATATTTTTATAAAGCTGGGTATAGGGGCTCATGCCTGTAATCCCAGCACTCAGAAGGCTGAGCAGGATTGCCAAGGGTTCCAAACCAGCCTGGCTACTTAGAAAAATCTTGTCTGAAAACAAAGAACATTACAAACTATAAACTAACATAACCCTCTGTAATATTCAGGCTAAGCCCAGAGTGGTGGTGCATGCCTTTAATCCCAGCACTTGGGAAGCAGAGGCAGGCCAGTCTCTGCAAGGTCAAGGCCATCCTGGTCCACATAGTGAGTTCCAGGCCAGCTGGGGCTACAGGGAGATCCTGTCTCAAAAAGACCAAGGGGGATACTGACTGAATTAACTGGCAAATATCTAATTCCTTTACTAATGAAGGAGGGTACTGGAATAAAATGACACTCTACATGAATAACTTTAAGTATTAGATGCTCAAAAACAATAACCTTGTGCTAAATTACTCCCTGCAAGTACATTTGGCCCCTGTGTAATCATTACTTCTCAAGACATAGGGAAAGTTAGTAATGGCTCAAGAAACCAAGCAGTAAAGACAGTTTAGTGGAATAACAAGCTGTGCCATTAGAATCGAAACAGAACAGAGCATGGAGTTCCCAGTCTTCCTCCACTTAGGTTAAACATTTACAGCAATAGTTGTGCCAGTAAACATCAGTCTCAAATAGACTAGGCAGAAAGCAATCTCTCAGTATTTTTACTAGGCAATCTGCAACAAATGCTTAATATGTACATTGCCAGTGAATGCACTATACCAGGAAATTATTGGTTGATTTTACTTAGAGAAAAGTATTATCTTAATAAATGCAACAATAAAAGTGAGCTGCACAATCTGTACAATCTTATCTTTCAAGCCCTTTTTCAGCTTTCTACTCTTCTAGAAGACCTGGGTTTACTTCCCAATAGCCACATGGCAGCTAACAGTCTGAAACTCCAGTTCCAGGGGATCCAACGCCCTCTTCTGGCCCTTGGGTGCATTAACACACACGCAGGCAAAACATTCATACACATAAAAGAAAAATAAATCCGGTAGCTTGGTGATTAAGGAGACTACAACATACCGATGGTTGCCACAAGCCCGCCTGCCCAAACTCCAGGAATTTGATTCCTTACTTTTCTAGCAGCCCTGGCGGGGGCCTTGCTGTCTCAAATATTCGCTTCCTAGAGATGAGGATCAGAGCCTAAGATGCGGGTGGGATGGGGGCGCGCGGTTCCCCACTCTCGTTCCCTAGTGCTCCTTCTCGGGCCTGGCTGGCACCAGCCACTTGGGAGGGCGCCACATCGGAGGCCCGGGGGCGGCCTGCCTACCTGCCTCTGCTCCTCGCTTAGCCCGTTGATAGCATCGTCCACAGGCAACATCGAGTGGGCCCGCTGGGAGACAGCGATGGGCGGCAGCCATGGCCGCAGCCTCCAATTGGACACACGCGGGCCCAGCAGCCGGATCGCAGTCGCCATCTCTGCTTTGCACCAGGAGCCAGCGCAGCCTTTGCAGAGCGGTAGCTTCCTCCCCACCAAGCCGAGCTTCACCACCCTGTCCAATCGAGAAGGAGGGGTGGGTCCCCCACAGCCAATCACCCTCGGAGGCCGGCTGAAGGCCGTGCTGCCCTTGGTCTCCTGGGGAGCCAATCAGCCCGAACTGCAGAGCCTGGTCCCATCTTCTGGGTGGTCCTTCAGTGTCTTTCTAGGGGTACAAGAATGGGTGACGTACTGTCTCCTCGCGTTGAAATTGTAGCCTCTCCCTGCAGAAATCTGTCTTCGGGGAAAGCAAAGTACTCAAACAAAACGAGCTACGCAGGTCTGGGCTAGCGAAGGTTGGGGGAAGTATCGCCGTTCTAGTGTACTGCACTGATTGAATTCATAAGGTTCGCTTTGTTGTTATATAATAGGTTTGATTCTTGTTTTAGGTGAAAAGGTTTGTTTGGGTTCTGCGCTCCAGATTATGTCAGGTATTGTGAAATGGCAAAATTAACTTCATTTTGCTCTAGCTTTACCCTGTGTTTTTGCCCAGCCATTCCATCTGCAGCCTACCAGGCAGGACCTCTCCTGCAGGTAGTTTCAAGGAGCACAGTATTTCTACAATACTGGGAAAATTACAAGTAGGCCCGTAGCAGGTCCAGATAGCATGCCCTCCGTCCCAGCTATACCTGCATCTCTATGGAGCACATTATTTCTACAATTCTTGTTAACTGACCTGCCCCTGGTCTGGTTTATCTATGGTGATCTGATGTAACTATGATTATTGGCTTTGCCCATGGCATGATGTAATTGCAGCTTTAAGCTTTATAAACCCTGCCCTGCTTCTCTTTGGGGTGGAGAGTTCTTTTGGGGGTTGGCCCCCTCTCTGATTGCCAGCAATTGATAAAGCACTCCTAATTCAACCATCCCTATGTGGAGTTCCTCTGTGCATCTTGCTTGGTATTACAAATTGTAAGGACTTTTTCTTGTGGGGAGGAAGGGAAGAAGTTTGAGGTTCCTGGAAAAAAAAAGTCATATCTCTGAAGAGTCTTTTTTTTCTTTTTCTTTTTCTTTCTTTCTTTCTTTCTTTCTTTCTTTCTTTCTTTCTTTCTTTCTTTCTT